AGTTTCGTTCTAGTTTCGTTCTAGTTCAGTTCTAGTTCGGTTCTAGTTCAGTTCTAGTTCAGTTCTAGTTCAGATCTAGTTCAGATCTAGTTCAGTTCTAGTTCAGTTCTAGTTCAGTTCTAGTTCTGTTCTAGTTCAGTTCTAGTTCAGTTCTAGTTCAGTTCTAGTTCAGTTCTAGTTCAGTTCTAGTTCAGTTCTAGTCCAGTTCTAGTTCAGTTCTAGTTCAGTTCTAGATCAGTTCTAGATCAGTTCTAGTTCAGTTCTAGTTCAGTTCTAATTCAGTTTTAGTTCAGTTCTAATTCAGTTTTAGTTCAGTTATAGTTCAGTTCTAGTTCAGTTCTAGGTCAGTTCTAGTTCAGTTCTAGTTCAGTTCTAGTTCAGTTCTAGTTCAGTTCTAGTTCAGTTCTAGTTCAGTTTTAGTTCCGTTCTAGTTCTAGTAATTTAATTGAGTTCTATTTCGGTTCTATTTCAGCTCTAGTTCAATAACACTTTTTGTCCAATTATAAATTAAATTTTAAATAATTTAATCTCCTTTTTTCCAGCACAAGCACAAAAAAGTCAAATCTAAATCTAAAGATTCCCAGAAATCCAAAGACGAACACGACGATACAAAATCCCACATGAACTCAATTAAAAATGTAAAAGCAGCCATTTCTCCGGTACACGAACAATACGAAATAATCCATCAAAATATGGCTCTCGAATTTCGTGATCATGATGGGCAGTCTGAGAGACCGGGTGGGGCGGTATTATCTCTTACCTTAGGCCTCTTAATAACAGCAGCTTTAGCTATTTTAATTGGATGTCGTATGAGAACCGTCGGTAGGCGGGCACGACGCATGGGCGGCAAAACACCTTATTCACACGAAGCCGATTTTTTGGTGAATGGCATGTATTTGTAAAAAATAAAGTGTTTCTTTTTTATATTGGCTTCAAATTAATATAAAAAAAATTAAATAATAATCTATTATGGTAATTACAAAAATAAAAAATAAAACCGAAAACTTGTATTCTAAACTAATTTTAATAACTGAAAAGTATGTTTTTTTGATGTTCTTTTCTTCAATAATTCAATAAAACCTAAATAAAACTCCCTCATAAATAAATAAAAAATAATCTGGGGAATAAAATGAAAAAAATCCCTTAAATTAAATAAACAGTTAGAATTTTCTAGTCGTGACGATAATTTACTGTGTAATCACTAACTAGTCAATAATTTTAAGTATATTTTTTGTAAATTTAAAAGAAAAACAAAATAAATTATTTACATACATATAAATGTATATTTAAACGATTTGTGTTAAAATAATGGTGGTTTTATTTTTAATTTTAAGGAATAACTTCTTTTTTATTTGAAAAATTATAATAATTTGTATTTTAATTTTGTTTTAATTGCAGGCTAAAATTCTGAATTAAAGGTTAGGAATTATAAAATATAAGGTAAGTGCATTTTAAACCCTTAACACTTTTCAACATACACTATCGGACAAAATAAAGTGCAAAAGTGCTCATGCTACATTATTTCATCGAAAAATCGGTTAAATGATTATTGAAAATGGAATTTTTTTTCAAAATCATTTAGTTTATATACAATGTTACAAAAATAACAATAAAACTAAATTATTGTGCTCAAAATTTTTCTGTATAACATCTAGAATTAAAATAAATTCACTTTTTTGTCGGACAAAATAAAGTGTAAATTTTATATATCATTATTTAAATTTCTTGTATATCAAAATTTTTTATCTATTTTGGTTCTGATTTGAATATCTGGATCTACTCAAGCCATTTTTGTAATTTTTTTACCATTATTATTCGCAATCGCTTTCACTTTCCCTAGCTTTCTCCCATACTATTATTTTCAAAAGAAATCCGTTTTTGTTCGCTATTTCAGCGGAATTTTGTGATCAATTGTGGTCAAATATTAATCTATTAGATTTAGGGCGATGCTCTGAGCAGGTCATTCAAATTTTTCAGTGTTTTTTTTCTTACAATAATGTTTTTGACCTTAGTCGTATGTTTGAAGTCATGAATCGGTTGAGGCATTAAGTCTCCCAAACCCATTTTTACGGCATTTATTTCAAAATTTTTATTAAATACGCTCGTGAATTGCTCATTTGTTATTGCTTACTCCATTTTCACTAAGATTCTCGCTCTTAAAGTTGAATAATGTAACAATACCGATAGCCCTCCACCATAATGTTTAAAACCTGGGGTATTGTTTTTAAAATTTTGTATATTGAAGGGCTTAACTCACACTCATTGTCGACATTTCAAAATTTTCGGTAGAAATTGGGACTCATCTGACCAACTACGTAAATTTGAGCTAAAAATTACGAAATTAAATACTAAAATCGAAAAAATTTTTAAGCTTTTAAATATGTTGGTGAAAGATTGAAGGTATGGGTCAGTTGACTCTTCGTATGTGTCCAATTTTTAACGTTAGGTGTGAGGAACCTAGGTGAAATTTATTCAAAAAGCTCCAATGAACACTATATAAGCATATTACAGTCAAATCTTAAGATCAGTGCCTTCGAAATGGACTTGGGCAACTTTATATTTCGGCAAGATAATAAGCTTAAGCACTTGATAAAGTTAAAAAAATAACATTTCTTTAGGAAAAATCACGGAAAAATTGGAATGTCCTGCTCAGAGCACCGCCCTAAATCCAATAGATTAATTTTGGACCATAATTTATCAAAAAATTCCGATGAATAGTGATCTAAAACGTATTTCTTTTGAAAATTATCATATGGGGATAGCAAGGGGAAGTGAAGGCGATTGCGAATAATAATGGAGAACAAAATTACCAAAATGGCTTAAGTAGATACAGATGTTAAAATCAGAACCAAAATAGATAAAAAATTTTGATATACAAGAAATTTAAATAATGATATATAAAATTTACACTTTATTTTGTCCGACAAAAAAGTGAATTTATTTTAATTTTAGATGTTATACAGAAAAATTGTAAGTACAATAATTTAGTTTTATTGTTATTTTTGTAGCATTGTATATAAACTAAATGATTTTGAAAAAAATTCCATATTCAATAATCATTTAACCGATTTTTCGCTGAAAGAATATACATGAGTACTTTTGCACTTTATTTTGTCCGATAGTGTATGTTTTTATAATCAGTTTATTACAAGATTACTTCGGTTTGGATCACTTCAAGATCAGTTCTAGTTCAGACCAACTTTATTTGAAGATCAGATCTATTTCAGTTGAGTTCATTTCAGTTCTAGTTCAGTCCTCCTTCACTAATAATTTATTTCGAGATCAATTTTAGTTCAGTTCTAAGACCAGATCTAGTTGAGTTCTAGCCCAGTTTTAGTTCTGCAGTTCAATTCAGTTCTAGTTCAGCTGTAGTAAAGTTCTAAGCCAGTTGTGATTCAGTTCTACTTTAAATTTTGTTCAATTCTGGTTCAGCTTTAGTTTAATTAAGTTCTGGTTCAGATTTGATTTACTTCTACTTTTCAGTTCTAGCTCAATTCTAGTTCTAGTTCAGTTCCAGTTCAGTTCTAGTTCAGTTCCAGTTCAGTTCGAGTTCAGTTATAGTTTAGTTCTAGTTCAGTTCCAGTTCAGTTCAAGATCAGTTATAGTTTAGTTCTAGTTCAGTCAAGTTCTAGTTCAGATTTGATTTACTTCTACATTTCAGTTCAGTTCTAGTTCAAGTTCTCGTTCAGTTCTTGTTCAGTTCAGTTCAAGTTCAGTTCTAAATCTAGTTCAGTTCTAGTTCATTTCTAGTTCAGTTCGAGTTCAGTTCAGTCCAGTTCAAGCTCAGTTCCAGTTCAGTTCAAGTTCAGTTATAGCTTAGTTCTAGTTTAGTTCAGTTCAAGTTCTAGTTCAGTTCTAGTTGAGTTACTTCTATATTTCAGTTCAGTTCTAGTCCTCTTCTAGTTCAGTTCTAGTTAAAGTTCTTGTTCAGTTCTAGTTCAGTTCTAGTTCAGTTCTAGTTCAAATTCTAGTTCAAGTTCTAGTTCAAGTTCTAGTTCAAGTTCTAGTTCAAGTTCTAGTTCAGTTCTGTTTCAGTTCCAGTTCAGTTCTAGTTCAGTTCTAGTTCGGTTCTAGTTCAGTTCTAGTTCAGTTCTAGTTCAGTTCTAGTTCAGTTCTAGTTCAGTTCTAGTTCAGTTCTTATTCAGTTCTACTTCAGTGCAAGTTCAGTTCTAGTTCAAGTTCTAGTCCTAGTTCAGTTCAAGTTCTAGTCCTAGTTCAGTTCTAGCTCAGTTCAAGTTCTAGTCCTAGTTCAGTTCTAGCTCAGTTCAAGTTCAGTTCAGTTCTAGTTCAGTTCTAGTTTAAGTTCTAGTTCAGTTCTACTTCAGTTCTAGTTCAGTTCTATGTTCTGGTTCAGATTTTGTTCACTTCTTAGTTTAGTTTTAGCAAAATCCTGTTCTAATTTAGTTGCGGTTGAGTTCAAATTTAGTTTTATGTAGTTCTATGTCAATTCATGTTCTATTTCATTTCAGTTGTAGTTTAGTTCCAAATCAATTCTAGTTCAGTTCTAGTTCATTTCCAGTAAAGTCCTAGTTCAATTCAACTTTCTCCTCATAGATTTAAAAAATGTTCGCCAGAACGACAATAAATATGCTCCTATTTTTGCCAAATGAAATTAATTTTTATATCATAGCTTTATATTTCTAAGTAACCCCAAAATATCCTAAACTTTTGCTAATAAAAATTAACAAAATACCAACTCTTATCCAAAGTAATTTTTCAGTTTTTATTTATTTTGACATTTTTAAAAATTTTTCTTTATAAATTTTTGTATTTTGTTGAGAAATTTTTTTGTTTTTATTTATTTATTATTAATAATATAAATATTTTTCATTAGACTTTATATTAAATCATATGGGAAAAATTAGGAATTTATAAAAAAAATTTATAAAATTAGAAACACAAAAAATTATGAAAAAAATAAACTAAAAAAAATTGTCATTATCCAAAGTAAGTCTTAAAGAGTGGTTTTGAAATATCAAATTATAAACATGTATTTTTTCTTTTTTTTTAATATATAAAATAAAACAAAACAAATTGTAATATTAAATTAATAACTACAAATACACAAAGATATTAAATTGCAAATGTAGCATGGGGGAAAATGGAAAAGGAGCATCATTCATTATTGTGTTTTATTTACTTTTGCTTTCTTCTTTCTTGTTTTGTAGTTGTTATATTTTGTGTATATAATATGTATATTTGTGTGGTTTTTTGTTAGTTTTTTTTTTTTTCATTATGTATAGATGTTTTATATGTATGTATGTGTGTATTTTAGGTATGTAGGTTTGTTTTTAAATTAATTCGTTTGTTGTTAGTTTAATTACTTAAAACTGTACATAAACTACAATTATATTATATTTTGCTGCTAGAGCGGGAAAAAGAAAACATTGTTTTTATGCAGGAAAGTTTAGGCAAATATTTAAATTTAGCAAATTGTTTAAAATACAGGATTTAAAAGATTTTCAATATTAATTTAAGCAAAATTTTAAACAAAAATTTTTCAGTCACCTGTTTTTCTGTATTTTTTTTTTTTCAAATGCAATTTTTTTTTTTTTTGTTAAAGAGCTTTACAAATTAATTCACTTATTTTTCATGCTTTTTGCTTTTCTCTTTTTGTAGAACTTAATTATTTTCAATTTCTCTTTGCTTTATTTAATTTTTTTATTGTGTTTTCTTTTGTTATTTTATTTTTTAATGCCATGATTTTTTTTGTGTATTTGTTTTTTCTTGTTTTAATATTATGATTTTGTTTTTATTTTTAGGATAAGTTTATTTTTTATTATTTTGCCATTAAGATTTTCGGTTTTATTTTATTAAAGTTTATTTTTTTTTTTTTTTTGTTTATCTTTATTAAATAATTATATAGTTTTGCAGTAATTTATTTGCAATAATAATTCGTTTTGTTTTTTCAGTTGGTTGGTTTTTTCTTTCATTCTAAATGTTATATAATAATAAATTGTTGTTGCTGTTAATGTTGTAGTTCATATCTATCCATTTATATAATGTAATAAGTGTTAAGTTTATGTTGTTATAATATTTGAGGTTCTTCTTACAACTACAACGTTCGTTAGATGATAATGTTTGGGGAAATCATGTTGCATACCTGGAAAAGAAAAATGTAAAATGGACGTTTTTATTTTGTTAATTAAAATCACTTTTAAAAACTGTTAACAAAGCTCAAGTTCAAGTTCAGTTCATGTTTAATATCAAATTAAGTTCAGATCAAGTTCAGTTCTAGTTCAGTTCTAGTTTAGTTCTAGTTTAGTTCTAGTTTAGTTCTAGTTTAGTTCTAGTTCAGTTCTAGTTCAGTTCTAGTTCAGCTCTAGTTCAGTTCTAGTTTAGTTCTAGTTCAGTTCTAGTTTAGTTCTAGTTTAGTTCTAGTTTAGTTCTAGTTTAGTTCTAGTTCAGTTCTAGTTTAGTTTAGTTCTAGTTATAGTTCAGTTCTAGTTCAATTCTAGTTCAGTTCTAGTTCAGTTCTAGTTCAGTTCTAGTTCAGTTCTACTTCAGTTTTAGTTCAGTTCTACTTCAGTTTCAGTTCAGTTCTAGTTCAGTGCTAGTTCAGTTCTAGTTCAGTTCTTGTTCAGTTCTAGTTCAGTTCTAGTTCAGTTCTAGTTCAGTTCAGTTCTAGTTCAGTTCTAGTTCAGTTCTAGTTCAGTTCAGTTCTAGTTCAGTTCAAGTTCTGTTCTAGTTCTGTTCTAGTTCTGTTCTAGTTCTGTTCTAGTTCTGTTCTAGTTCTGTTCTAGTTCTGTTCTAGTTCTGTTCTAGTTCTGTTCTAGTTCTGTTCTAGTTCTGTTCTAGTTCTGTTCTAGTTCTGTTCTAATTCTGTTCTAGTTCTGTTCTAGTTCTGTTCTAGTTCTGTTCTAGTTCTGTTCTGTTCTAGTTCTATTCTAGTTCTGTTCTAGTTCTGTTCTAGTTCTGTTCTAGTTCTAGTTCTGTTCTAGTTCTGTTCTAGTTCTGTTCTAGTTTTGTTCTAGTTCTGTTCTAGTTTTGTTCTAGTTCTAGTTCTGTTCTAGTTCTGTTCTAGTTCTGTTCTAGTTCTGTTCTAGTTCTGTTCTAGTTCTGTTCTAGTTCTGTTCTAGTTCTGTTCTAGTTCTGTTCTAGTTCTGTCTAGTTCTGTTCTAGTTCTGTTCTAGTTCTGTTCTAGTTTCTAGTTTCTAGTTCTGTTCTAGTTCTGTTCTAGTTCTGTTCTAGTTCTGTTCTACTTCTGTTCTAGTTCTGTTCTAGTTCTGTTCTAGTTCTGTTCTAGAACTGTTCTAGTTGTGTTCTAGTCTACTTCTGTTCTAATTCTGTTCTTGTTCTGTTCTACTTCTGTTCTTGTTCTGTTCTAGTTCAGTTTTAGTTCTTGTTCAGTTTCAGTTTTTGTTCACCTTCATTTCACTTTTTTGTGTTTATTGTCAAGTTCAATAACATTTAAACATGATATATAAACATTAATTTCCTGCCTAAAAAAATTTTAATAAAATTTTAAAAACCTGTCGCAGGTCAATATTTTACCCCTAAAACACATTAATGCTAAAACATTTCTTTAAATATACTTTAACAAAATATTCGTATCAAAACAGGAGAGAGCAAAGGTGTTGATAAATATTGAATATAATACAAAAATTGCTAAATAATACTAGTTATAACAATTGTATGCAGGAGTATTTTTAAAAATAAATTACCTTTTTGTCCATAGTCTAGCGATTCTATCATGCTCTTCGCGATTTTGTAAATATTGAGTAGCAATACTACCAACCAAAGGATCGGCTAAATTAGAAAAATTTATATTATGCGTTATTATAGGTTATTGCTAATAAAAATATATATATGAAGTACTAACCAGGATTACAATCAGTCAGCAGGGAACAAATTGACAGCAACACCTTTGATATGGTCAATGCTGGCGACCAATTATCCTTGAGAATATCTAAACAAATAACACCTTGACTATTGATGTTACAATGATAGATACGAGTACGGAACGTAACTTTAGGAGGTTTAAAAGGATACTCGGGTGAAAAGTGAATATCCAAAAAGAAAACACCACCTTCATATACGGAACCGGGTGGTCCCAAAATGGTCGAAACCCATTCATATAGATTATCACCCTTGGGACCGGCACTACAGTTGGGCGGTGGATCTAGAGTAATTTCGGCCAGTTCTTTTTGTATACGTTTGGCTGAAGTACCCAAAGCTTTTGAGATTTTTGGATTTGGTTTGGGATCTTTACGCGTTTCCTCACTAGTCGTGGCCGCTGCAGTCGAGGACGAGCCACCACTAACACCACCACCGCCAATGCCGGCACCCCCTAAGCCAGTGGAAGCATTTGTTGATGAACCCGAAGAGGCGGGATTATTGGTAGCACCTACCGTGGCATTATTACCATTACGACCGCGTCCAGAATTGGGTGTAGAATTTGTGTTGGTTGTGGTGGTGGTGGCATTATTGGTAGCAGACATATTATTGGCAGTGCCTGGTGGTGAATTGGCGGCCACAAGACCAGTGGCAGCAGCCGATGAAGCTGTCGTATTAGTTGCTGATGGACCACCACTAGTCGTAGAAGTTGAAGACATAGTGGTACTCAAGGTAGCAGGAGAAAGAACAAGTTATAGTTTGATGTTGGCCAAATAAAAAACAAGTTTGCAAGTAAGCTGCAAAGACAGAAAAGTAAAACAAAAAGTTTAAATCAGCTGTAATTCATTAATTATGCTGTAAATATTGATAAAATCAGCAAAAATCAATTTGTATTGCTTAAATGAGTTTAAAACTGAGATGCTAGAACATTTAGGTCCTCAATTTACTTAATTAAATTTACTCAAGAATAAGATTTCTTTTTAATTTTATTGTTAAAACAACTGAATGATTTAACTTAAAAAAGAAAAAGCAGTTTGTTATCGACACACAAACAACCTAGTCTATTTTAAGGCGTTAAAAAATTGTCTATGGCAAAGGATTTTCTGTTTCTCAACAAAGTAAATGAAATATATGTATAAAAACAAAGCAAGGAATATAAAATCCTTGAAATTACAAAAGAAAACTTGTATAGAAAATAAATCAGTTTGTCCTTGTTGAAAATTAAAATTTTACTATTTAGTCACGTTTTCTATACTTAACAACGTCCTACTGCTACTATTTACAACAAACACATTTATCCTCGGGAAGAATTTACTCCTACACTGGGTGGGAGTAGTTTCTTATATTCCGGCTTGGAATATTAAAGAGACAATAAAACAAATATATTTAACACGGTTGTTTTACTTTAGCGGCCATTTTGGGTATTAAATGCAAAAAAAAAAAAAGAAAAACAAAAACAAAAAAGAATAGCAGCAAAGCCAAATAACAACAACAAGAAACCACACGGCAAAGTTACACACAAAAGCAGAGAGCCCTTTAAAGCAAAAAACACTAATTGGAAATTTTGTTGAAAATAAAACACCTTAGATTTTCTTTAACTTTATTTATGTATAAGCTATAGGAAATAACTAAAATTTACTGAAAACACTATTGCAAAATTTTTCTTTTGAGACATTTAATTCTATGTGTGCAAATGCTCTGCTGCTGCCGACGTAGACTGCGTCAGAGTTTACAAACGCAATAGAATTTTTTTTATAACATTCTTAAAAGTTCTTTGTTGTTGTTTTTCATTTCTATCATTCTTTGATTGCCTTTTATAAAAGATTTTTCTAGTAAAATTTTGTATAACAAATTGTTAATATTTCACAAATTATTTAGACAATTTTTCACTATTTCACAAAATTTTTCAGACACTTTTTCGGTTTTGCAGTTTCATTTTTTTGTTCTTTCTTTAACTTCTTTTTTTTTCTTGCTATTAGCAGCCTTCGCTGTCTTACCGTTTTTTTCTCTGCCTGTCTTAATTTTTGCGAATTTTTTTCTTTATTACTTTTTTTAAAGTCTATTCACCTGTTTTTTTATGTTAATATTTAGCTTTCAACTAATATTTTTATATTAGTTTTATGTTTTTGTTAATTATTTTAACCAATTTTCTATCTTTTTTAATTTAAATCAAATTTTTTCTTTCTTCCCATCAAACTTTTTTTGAAACGCTTTGATTTTTTTTTCGCAAACAGTAGTCATTTGTGAAAATATAAAGTTGCCAGAGTATTTTTATGGCATTTCATTGGGGAACATTGCTAGACTAGGGAAACATGTCTGATATTGTTTTGTTTATGAAGAAAACAAAATACGAAAAAGTTCCGTTATAAAATAAATTCTCACAACAAGTAGTTGTGATAAATGTGATTGATCATTTAGTTTGAAGTGAACTTTTGTAAGAGAATGATCGAGTTTAAATTGATAATAAAAAATTATAAAAAAAATATATTGTGAAATTGATAATTTAGTGAAAATAATAAAATAAAGATTTGTGAAATTAAAGAAAAATAATAAATATTTGTGAAATTAACAATTTAATAAGAAATTGTGATGTATAAAATGTACTTTAATTTCAATGCGTAATAATTAGTGTAAAACGTTTTTTATTAACTTGAAGCTAAATTCAAGATGGTGTCTTCTTCTATTTGAAAATAGTAAAGTTCTAAGGTAAGTGCAGTAAAACTTAATATTTCTACCTCTATATTTTTGAAAAAGTATTTTTATGTTTTTTAAAATACATGCAAAATAAAAATCATATTATTTCACAATAATTTTTTATTATTTACTTTGTAATGGACCAAAGAATGTTTCTTTTATATAAATTTTAAGACTGAAATATTACTACAAAACTGCACATGATTTCAGTTTGTTTATATTGCTTTTGTTATTTTCATAACTGAATATTTATTTATAAAAATGCATACATTTTTATATAATACAACCACGTTATCATATAAAAAACTATTTTTAAGGAAAAATCACAAAATTTCACAGTTTTTAAGGAACTACCATAAATTTTAACTGATTTTCTTTTATTTTTTATACTTAAGGTATTGCTTCCTTATGTTCTCAATTATCTATTTCACAAATTATAACCAATTTTGGTGTTTTAAATAATAAAAATCTAATTTTAGTATAGTGTAGAATAACGTCGTTCTGTTGTGTCTGAAATTTGATAGTTATTTTAAAAACTACTTTAAGGTTTTCGTAAAAAATACAGTATAAGTTTTTGTGAAAAAGAACAATATTTGAAAAATATCAAAATCTATACATGACACACAGCAGAAGGGTCAGTGTGGTTACAACCATCAGTACAAACAAATAATATCTTCCCCACTATGATGGCTTAGTGTATAAATATTGAATCCTCCAAAGTCTTGTGATGAGTTTAAAAAGTTCAACAATGGGAGTTTGAGATTACCCCTTGCAGAAAAAAATAATTTGGTTTTGTTTGTGATATTTGTTAATATAATTGAGTATGTAATTTTTATATTTAGGAAATTTTGGATATTTTCATATTACATAAGAAATCTGGCAAGTTAGAAACACTTGATTATAAATGGCCATTTAAATGATAAGTGTGAAAGAGACAAATATATAAACAAATGTCAATTAGCCGGTAGATGCTGATTTTCCGAAGCTTCGCTAGTAGTTGTATAAAAGTAGTAGTAGGTAAAACGGGTAAAATTTTAGTAAGGAAATGGAGACCGAAAATAAGCGAATCGTTATTTTTAAAAGTCATGTTCGAAAAATTTTGATGTGTAGTTTGTTGAAGATTATTAAATAATTTAAGTTCAATTTCATACAAATTCAAAATTCGAACTAAAAATATTCCTGAAAGATTCCAAAATTTTTAAATATTTAAAAGTAGTTTCAGAATATTAACTTTTGGCAATCGGAACTTCTACTTAGATCTTAAATAGTTTGAAAAAGAAACCACACTTTTTATGATTTTTTTTCACTTTTTTCTTTATTTTGTCATAAAAAACAAACACTTTCTTTTTGTATATTTAAATTTAGTCACGAAGGGAGAAATATTTTCCTGGAAAATATTGTACACATATAAATTTCTATATATAAAACTATTAAATTGTTTATTTGGTATCCATGCTGTTATCATTCGAGGCTAAGGCTTTACGTGACTTATAGACACGTACAGTATTATCAGCACCGCCAGAAACAATATATTTAGGATTAGACCAATCAATATCTAATACTTTATCGCCATGACCTATTAAATCATATAAAGGAGCCTTGGGACTGTAAATTGAAGAAAAACAAATAATTATAAGATTTTTTAATTTTAGAGCAAAAATTTCATTTTAAACAAACCTGCGACAATCCCATAGTTTATTTTGATTATCATAAGAACCCGAAACGAATAAATATTCCTCTGTATTTGACCACATAACAGTTTGTACCCATTGTTGATGACCCAAATAGGTGTTGCGTACTACGGAGCCATCTGCAAGTAAATTATTAATTTTTATTAAATAAATCTTTTTATTCTAGTTGTATGTATATCTAACTTACGATTTGTTCTGGGATCATAGAGTCTTATGTTTTTATCTGCCGAAGCTGTTATTATGAGTTTATTTATTGTTGAATAACTGGCATCAAATATAGACTTGTTGGTTGATATTTCCGTTTTAATACCTTCCATATTTAAATCCCATACTTTCATAGTATGATCCCAACTGCTAGTCAGCAGTGTATAATCATCCATCCATTGTACAGCAGAAATACATTCACGATGTCCTTGCAGTGTCATTTGGGGAGTCTAAAAATATAATGAATGTTAGATATCTATAAATATAAATAGTGCATTTTAGGTTTTAAATGAAATCTCTACTTTTTGTGTATCAGAGATGGATTTAAACTTTAGTTTAATGAACAATTAAGATTTAATAAATTTGGAATTTATTTATCTATCTATCCATCTATCAAAATTATAGGGAGATTTTTTCTTTTGATTCTTTTAACTAATTCAATATTGCCATCATAAACACTTCTGACTTACCCTTGTTGAACCACCATCGGGTCTTGCTCTTTTCGAAGTACCTTCTCCTGCTTCATTAATATCCGCCGACCATATTTTCAACATAGTATCCCAGGAACCAGTGGCAAATTTCTGCTGATTCGGACTAACATCAACACCATCAATTCCTCTCTCATGACCCTTACAAACCGATACACATTCCACTGAATTCGATTCAATCTTCCAATCCCATAGCATGGCTGTTTGATCTTGCGAACAACTAACAAATTTACCACGTTCATCATCCAAAGAAACCCAGGCTACTGCTTTTACGGGCATAGTATGACCGGGTATAGTTAGCACATGTTTACCCTTAATAGTCCATATATTAATGGTGTTATCATAACAGCCAGTCAATATCCATTTGCCACAAGTTTTTACCGCTGAAACCCAATCATCATGCAAAAGGCATTCTTGGGGTTCGGGTGCGGGGAATCTCTCCACATATTCCAATTCTATGGCATCTTCAAATGATATAGCCTTCTCTTTTAAATGATCACAAAGACGGCCTCTTAAGTACTCGTCGAATACCAAGAAATCAAATTCCACAGTACGTTTGTCATCATCTAAAGAAGCATGTTGCAGTAGAGTATTAATGAAGCTATTCAATTCCGTAGTGGTAATGGTGGCATCTATGGAATAAGGTACATCGGGTACGGCATATCTAAAAAAAAAAATGTTAGCTATTAAACCTGGATAATTCCGAATTATGCTTTTCTATACTTACTGTTCCTGTTTTGTTTTAAAATGTACTTGTACTTGACCCTCTCCGTTTTCTGTTTCCATTTTAGCTTTTTCTATTTGAACACTAGTTACTATGGTAATTTCTTTACTTTTTCAAATAAATCTTATGCTTTAGAGCATAAACTATAGTTTTTTTTGTTAATTTATATATAAATTTATTTTAATTTATTAAAGTTTTCTAAGTAAATTGTAAAAAATCACGCTGTATTTCACAGTTTTTCTATAAGTTGTTTTTTATTTAAACACGTTTTGACAATTCTCTCACACATGCTAGTTAATGTCAAAAAAGGTGTTGCCAGATTTGTTAGAAATGCGACAATTTGTGTAACCAGATGTATATAGGTGTTGGCATATTTAACCCTATAATGAGATATTAGTAGATAGTATGAAAAATAACAATCGAACTTAGACGAAAAAGTCGACTATCTTGTAAGAAAAAAAGTCGAAAAGTCGATTTTTGAAAAAAAAAATCGAAAAGTCTATATAAAAAAATGTGAAATCAAAATTTTAAAATTGCATTTTGTTGAAAAATCAAATAATACTAAATTGATATAAGTCAACTTTTTATAATTTGCATAATATCCTAATTTAGATATAAGAGCTCAATAATGTAACGTCATTTACAGGATATCTGATATATCGCTTATTTACTACAAGAAGGTCATAAATCAAAAAACTTTGTTTTAAATAAAAAGAAGTTTTATGTTTTGTTACATTTTACTTATTTGTAAAACACATCGCCGAATTTAAACAAGTAAGGAAGTATAGTCGGCCGTGACCGACCATATGCTACCCTACACCAGTTATGAATATTAAATGTGATTTATTTTTCATAATAAAGCTTTTATCTTCTATTACCTTATTCCGATACATTTTAGCAATATATGGATGAAAAACTAATTTTCTGAAAGAGGCTTTATAGGAGGGCTAGGGGCAAATATGGACCAAGCCTGATAAAATTTTGTAAATATATTTATATTTACATAATATTTTATTGTGCTGAATTTCATCGCGATATTTGTGTTTATAAGTTAATTTTGGACATTCAAGTAATTTTCTGAAGGGGACTTTGTATGGGAACTAGGGTCAAATGAGGCCCGATCTCTATGAAATTTGGCAAAGTCATTAAGGCTTGTATAAAACTTAGTTGTGCGGCTTTTTATCAATATACAGGTATATTTAACATAATTATGAGCTCAGAAGCCCTTTTCGGGGGGTTCTGCTGTATGGGGGCTAGGAGTGTGTGCCAAATTTCATCCAATTATCTTGAAAATTGCGACCTGTACCTTGCGCACAAGGTTTACATGGACAGCCAGCCAGCCAGACGGACGGACGGACAGACGGACATAGCTTAATCGACTCAGAAAACGATTCTAAGCCGATTGGTATACTTTAAAGTGGGTATAGGAAGAATATTTTTGTATGTTACAAACATCAGCACAAACCCAATATACCCTCCCCACTAAAATGGTGTAGGGTATAAAAACAAAATCTGATGTATACAGTAGTTGTTAATATGTTTCTCATCTGAACTTAAATTTAATTTTTACTTATCCAATATACATAAGTCAAAGCTTGGGTTTTACTCGCTCACCGGAAATAATAGAACTTTCCGAAAATAGACAAAACTATATGAAATTATTTAATATGACATAAATTCCGTAGATCTTGACCTATAAAGGATTTATTTTATGAGGATCGGTAGACAATTGACCCCACCAATCAGTTGTTAACAATAAATTATTGAAAATTTACAAAATTATGATAAAATTTTACAAAAAACTATTCATTTTGAAAAATTAATCATTCTTTTCGATTTCGTAGAGCTCGACCAATATTTGACCTATTAAAGGGCTTATTCCAAAACTTAGACTTATAAACTAATAAATCCAGAACTAAATCCATATATAAGACAAATTTTTGATAATGCGGGCCTGTTACGTTATGTATCTGAAATATCAAATTAAAATCTTCATTATTTCAAAATAACAAGTGAATACCATTATTAATTTTTTTTTTTATTTATTTAACCAACTTTGTTCAATGAACTTTTATTAAATACCCCACTCTTCCACCACCCGTTCAACTAATTGACTTTACTTTAAAAGCCAACCAACAAAAATTATGGTCATAATGTGAATATGAATTTACAAATGAACTTTTAGTTCATTTCGCAAACCAAAACAATGTTGAGTGCTTCTTACTGCTGGGCCAGTATAACCTCCTTAAGCAGAAGAGACATCCATTAAACACGCACTCAATATTACGTAAATTTAAAGTACACACATTCATTCATTGTTTCTTTTATTCGTTAAAAATTGTTTAACCCAAAAAAACTGGAAGAAGGCATCATTATTATTAATATTAAATAATACTTTGTAATAATTTTGTTTATTGTTGTTATTGTTGCTTTAATATTCATTAATTTCGTTTTGTCAGTGAGTTAATTGCAACACAATTTAGAAATTATAAATTTTGGAGGTTAAGTAGCCAATCAAGTCAAAGAGCTTACTAGCCATTGAGTGGGTGATTGAAGCTGATTGCTTTTAAAGCTGTTTATTTATGGTTATGGATTTAGGGGACTTGATGTAGAAGTAAGGTTAACAGTTTATTTTGAAGATGTATTGGAAGTTGTTTTCATATATAAGTATACTTCAATTATTAATTGTATATAGATAAGTGGCTGATACAATTTAGTTTTCTTGTCTCTTAAGAAAGGTCATTTTAATTAAATAATAAAGACAAAGTGATGGAACAACAACAATAATAACACTTATTATGGTTGTTTCTATTAATATTCAAAGGATTTGATATATTTTTAAAGGATTTTTTGGAGTATTCCAATATATTTTAGCTGTCAGCTTACTATTGGTTAATAACCGATTCCTTTTACATCATGTATGTACATTGTATCTTTGAATTACTGAAATGTATGTATATCTGGTATTTGGCATTGAATTTGTATTTAAATGCATTCATGGGTTCACAATCTGTGAAGTATTTGAGCTATAGCTACGATTTCAATCATTTCAGACATTATTTTTCACTGATTAGATAACAAGAGGAGATAGTTTAAGTAAGTAAGAGCCCAATATCTTGTGATTTTATTCCGTAATCTTCTTTATCAATAAAAACGCAATATTTGTTTGTCGATAAACTAAGGAACTACGAATCCTAATAAGACAAAATTTGTTCAACAGTGATGTAGTCTAGAGATCGCTCAATTACAGGACTTAGCAAAAACCCTTATAAAACTTTCTGAACATCACAGGTAGGGTTCTATAGTTGAAACGAAAAGTCGACTTTTCGACTTTTTTCATTTAGTTAAAAGTCGACTTTTCGACTTTTTGCATTTTATGAAAAGTAGATTTTTCGACTTTTTTCATTTAATTAAAAGTCGACTTTTAGACTTTTCGACTTTAAGTATTTTATAAGTATGTAGTCGACTTTTCGACTTTTTCCGACATTTTTCGACTTTTTCCGACTTTCGATTTCTTTCGACTTTTTGACTATTTTCGACTTCTTTCGACTTTTTTCGACTATTTTTTGACTTTTTTCGAGTTTTTCCGACTATTATAGAGTTTTTGACTTTTTTTCCACTTTTTAAAAATTTTCGACTGTTTTTGACTTTTTTCTACTATTTTCAAGTTTTCGACTTTTTCCGACTTTTTGACCTTCGACTTTTTTCGACAAAAAGTCGATTGTTCGATTATTCGAAAGTCGATTTATAGAACCCTAATCACAGGTGTAAAAATACTACTTTTCAATTTCATTATTTGCCAGTTTCACTATCGAATTAAGATTTAGAATATGTTATTATACTTTCTAATTTTCTAAATTTCATGATTAACATTAAGACTCACTGCAATTAATTAAATTTACTATACAACTATAAAGATGTGACCACATATTGAAAGACTTTCCTTATGGAGATTTAAAAAAAAGTCCAATACAATAATTTTAAAATACACACTCAACACATTAACGTGTTTTGAATTGAAGATGAGTCTGGTTTTAAAAGACCATTAAAATAAACGTTTATTGCAAAAATAAATAACCAAAAAAAAACTTTACAAAAATGTTTAAAAATGAATTTGTAATTGTTTAAAAACAAAATGAACAAACAGAGTTCTCTTAAAAAATAGTCTAAACACACAAAATGAATACCACAAAGAGTTTGAAGAGTAAATTTGAATTGGCTTTTTAAACAAAAAGTCTATAAACAGTGGTAAAATAACAGTAACTGGTATTATTAACGTGTGGAACGTGCATAAGGTAAGATCGGCAAATAAAAGTAAAAAAGTAACGCGGGATTATTTTTTTAAAAGAGGATTAATTTAAATTGGAAAGAAAATTTAAATAAAGTGTTTGCTTTTTTAGAGTGCTAAATTATCGAAAAACAAAAAATCAAAATGAAATCTTTTGCTGTATGTCTTGCTGTCTTGGCCATTGCTGCCTTTGCTTATGCTATGCCCCAACAACGTGAAGGTGCCGCCTATACCAATGAGGCTATACGTCAAGCTCAACAAACTTTCCTGATACCCAAAGATGCCCAAATCCAAAATGTCCAGGAGGGTATTGAATTGGGTGCCTATGAACAAATACCCGGCAATCAACGCATCAATCTATTTGAAATTTTAGGCGATCAAGTTCCCTCAGAAGTAATCAACAACTTACAGGCTCAAGTAGATCAAATTGGTAGAAATTAAATTTATTAATTAGAAAAAAAAAAACTCTTCTTAATCTTAAAAGCACTTTCATTACATTTCATATTGTTATTTATGATCGAAATAAGGTTATGTTTAAAACGGTATGTACCGGATGTAATCTTACGAAAACATTGTTGTTAAATTTTTTTTTGTTATTTAAAACTTATTTTTTTTGTTGTTGAAATTTTTCTGTTTTTGTTTAGTTTTTAAATAATAATAAAAAAAAAATAAATATTTTAGAAAAAATTTTATTATAAAAGATAAAGGAGTTTTATTTATTAACTTTATTTGAAATTAAAAACAAATAACAAGTATTAAAATGCAAGTTACCTTTTTGTAGTTGTTTTTGTAAACTTAAACAATTGTCTCAAATTATTTACTCTCACTTTCACAAGAAACACCATCCCTGCAATTGTTGAAAGCGAGACAAAAAAAAAACGTATTTTTTCCATGCTTGAGAAATCATGTTGTTATTTCTTCCTATTTTTGTTATTGTTTTTAACATTACCGTTAGTTACATTAGTGTTTGTCATTGTCTTTACCTTAAAAGGCATTCATTCATTCATTTGTTATTGTTTTCCTCTGTCTATTATTGATTGACATTTTGTGACATTTTGTTTTGTTGTTTGTGATGATGAGGGAATATTTTGCATAATAAAAGAAATTATTACCTCTAATGCATATTAATTAAGCTAAAAAATCTATTACAAATTTGTTAAAAATTATTAACAAATTTTGTTTCTTTTTTATTAAACACATACTTACGTACCACTAATTTACATAATACTTTTATACTACATTTTAATAATTATTATTTGTTTTATTTATATTTTTATTAATTGTTTATATTCCAAATAAACAATGTATGTAAAATATTAGTTCGTACAAAAATTGAATCTAGTTGGAATACTTTGTTTTTCTACAAATATGTTTAATATGTATGTTCATGGCTATTTGTTGCTTTTTTCAATTTAAGTTTTCGTTTTTTTTTGCATTATGTAATAGTACTTGTGGCCTCTACATTATTTTTATGTTTATTATTGTTGCAGTTTTATTTTTGTATTTTTGTTACTTTTGCTGAAAATGCTGTAAATCATGTTGTACTCGTTTTAAGTTTTTTTTCTTCTCATACTCATCACCATCATTATGAAGTTTGTATTATACCGGAGCATCATGCTGCATGTGACCAACTAAATATCTTTCACTTTTTCCACTGCTATACACAGTGTGTAGCCGCCATTCTCGCAGGGCCCCTTGAAATGTTAATATAGCCGTACCATGGTATAAAAATAGAAGAACATTCTTCTTTAACTTCCGAACTGTTAGTCCAATTTGAATGATATCTTCTCACATATTAAAAGAATAACAGGCTGACAAATTTTTAACCCAGAGACTTAAGTAAACTTTTCTAAAGGATTGAGCCGCGCTGAATCCTAATCTGAATTTCAGAATTTCTCAATCACATCTGGGACTTGAGATATCGTGTTCTGAAATTTGAAAAACTTAGTTTTTTACTCTTTTTGAGACGTTATAATAGCGCCAAGGCAACCATCTTAAAGCCGATTTTGTCCATTCTGCCAGCTTTAAAATAAAGGCTTAACATCTGACATATCTTCTTATTTCTTCGAGATATGGTCAACAAAAGCTTGATATAACAATAAGTACACAAAAAACGCTATTTTTCGTACATACATACTAATGTAGATCTTTTCCTAGATATGTATATATTCACTAGATTTAATAAGTATACATTCTCCTCTCAATCTAAACTAAGTCTCTTTCAAAGCCTCAGTTGGTCGCATTTATCTCTATAATTCATTTACTTTTATGAAGATGCTGTATGCAGAGCTTCATTTGATTGTTAATTTTCTGTGTGTATGTGTGTTTTCCGTCTACTTTCAATTGATTTTGTTTTTCTGTATTTTAAAGATATATTTTTTTTCAATTAAATTTTTCAACTCTTCATAACGATCGCATTCTGTGTCGGTGTTTTAATTTTTCCTCTTTTGAAAACCAAAACGATAAAAAAACTTTTGTTGGGTAATATTTAATTGTGACCAAGTTTTAGTTTTGTTTTAAGTTTTTCTGGTTTAAACCTAATGAAAGCCTTATATTTATAATCACATGATTAATTATGATGTGATAATGATGATGTTGAAGCCAAAGGTGCTGATAATAATTAAAGTTATCTGGTTTTTTAGTTTTTTTGGGGGTTTCTTACTTTTTTTGTGTATTGGATTTGAACCAGTCATGGAAAATTTAGTAGTCTATAGTCTAATTCATAGTCTAGTCTATAGTCTAATTCATAGTCTAGTCTATAGTCTAGTCTATAGTCTAGTCTATAGTCTAGTCTATAGTCTAGTCTATAGTCTAGTCTATAGTCTAGTCTATAGTCTAGTCTATAGTCTAGTCTATAGTCTAGTCTATAGTCTAGTCTATAGTCTAGTCTATAGTCTAGTCTATAGTCTAGTCTATAGTCTAGTCTATAGTCTAGTCTAGTCTATAGTCTAGTCTATAGTCTAGTCTATAGTCTAGTCTATAGTCTAGTCTATAGTCTAGTCTATAGTCTAGTCTATAGTCTAGTCTATAGTCTAGTCTATAGTCTAGTCTATAGTCTAGTCTATAGTCTAGTCTATAGTCTAGTCTATAGTCTAGTCTATAGTCTAGTCTATAGTCTAGTCTATAGTCTAGTCTATAGTCTAGTCTATAGTCTAGTCTATAGTCTAGTCTATAGTCTAGTCTATAGTCTAGTCTATAGTCTAGTCTATAGTCTAGTCTATAGTCTAGTCTATAGTCTAGTCTATAGTCTAGTCTATAGTCTAGTCTATAGTCTAGTCTATAGTCTAGTCTATAGTCTAGTCTATAGTCAGTCTATAGTCTAGTCTATAGTCTAGTCTATAGTCTAGTCTATAGTCTAGTCTATAGTCTAGTCTATAGTCTAGTCTATAGTCTAGTCTATAGTCTAGTCTATAGTCTAGTCTATAGTCTAGTCTATAGTCTAGTCTATAGTCTAGTCTATAGTCTAGTCTATAGTCTAGTCTATAGTCTAGTCTATAGTCTAGTCTATAGTCTAGTCTATAGTCTAGTCTATAGTCTAGTCTATAGTCTAGTCTATAGTCTAGTCTATAGTCTAGTCTATAGTCTAGTCTATAGTCTAGTCTATAGTCTAGTCTATAGTCTAGTCTATAGTCTAGTCTATAGTCTAGTCTATAGTCTAGTCTATAGTCTAGTCTATAGTCAGTCTATAGTCTAGTCTATACTCTAGTCTATAGTCTAGTCTATAGTCTAGTCTATAGTCTAGTCTATAGTCTAGTCTATAGTCTAGTCTATAGTCTAGTCTATAGTCTAGTCTAGTCTAGTCTATAGTCTAGTCTATAGTCTAGTCTATCGTCCAGTCTATCGTCTAGTCTATAGTCCAGTCTATAGTCTAGTCTATAGTCTCGTCTATAGTCTAGTCTATAGTCTAGTCTATAGTCTAGTGCTATAGTCTAGTCTATAGGTCTAAGTCTATAGTCTAGTCCATAGTCTAGTCTATAGTCTAGTCTCTAGTATAGTTATTAGTCTAGTCTAAGTCTAGTCTATAGTTCTAGTATATAGTCTAGTCCTATAGTTTAGGTTCTAAGTTAGGTCTTAGTCTAGTTCTATAGTCAGTCTATAGTCTAGTCTATAGTCAAGTCTATAGTCTAGTCATATGTCTAGTCTATTAGTCTAGTCTATAGTCTAGTCTAGAGTTCTAGATATAGTCTAGTCTCTAGTCTAGTCTATAGTCAAGTCTATAGTCTAGTCCATAAGTCTCGTCTATGTCTAGTCTATAGTTAGTTCTGTAGTCTAGTCTATAGTCTAGTCTATAGGTCTGTCTATTAGTCTAGTCTATAGTCTAGTCTATAGTCTAGTCTATAGTCTATCATAGTCTAGTCTCTAGTCTAGTCTAGTCGTCTATAGTCTAGTCTATAGTCTAGTCTATAGTCTAGTCTATAGTCTAGTCTATAGTCTAGTCTATAGTCTAGTCTATAGTCTAGTCGATAGGCAGGCGAGGCTAATCTAAGGCGAGAGGCAGGCGAGAGGCGAGGCGAGAGGCTAGGCGAGAGGCGAGGCTAGAGGCGAGGCGAGGGCCGAGGCGAGAGCGAGGCGCGAGGCTAGGCGAGAGGCGAGGCGAGAGGCGAGGAGGGCTAGGCGAGGTCTAATCGAGGCTAGTCGAAGTCTAGTCTAGGCTAGTCCTAAGTCTAGTCTATAGTCTAGTCTAAGTCCGAGCGATAGGCGAGTCTATAGAGTCTAGAGTCTAATCTATAGTTCAGTCTATAGTCCTAGTCTATAGTCTAGTCTATAGTCTAGTTTTATAGTCTGGTCTATAGTCTAGTTATAGTCTAGTCTATAGTCGTCTATAGTCTAGTCTATAGTCTAGTTTATAGTCTGGTCTATAGTCTAGTTTATAGTCTAGTCTATAATCTAGTCTATAGTCTAGTGTATAGTCTAGTGTATAGTCTAGTCTATAGTCAGTCTATAGTCTAGTCCATAGTCTAGTATATAGTCTAGTCTATAGTCAGTCTATAGTAGTCTATAGTCTAGTCTATAGTCTAGTCTATAGTCTAGTCTATAGTCTAGTCTATAGTCTATCATATCTAGTATAGTCTAGTCTATAGTCTAGTCTATATCTAGTCTATAGTCTAGTCTATAGTCTAGTCTATAGTCTAGTCTATAGTCTAGTCTATAGTCTAGTCTATAGTCTAGTCTATAGTCTAGTCTATAGTCTAGTCTATAGTCTAGTCTATAGTCTAGTCTATAGTCTAGTCTATAGTCTAGTCTATAGTCTAGTCTATAGTCTAGTCTATAGTCTAGTCTATAGTCTAGTCTATAGTCTAGTCTATAGTCTAGTCTATAGTCTAGTCTATAGTCTAGTCTATAGTCTAGTCTATAGTCTAGTCTATAGTCTATCTATAGTCTAGTCTATAGTCTAGTCTATAGTCTAGTCTATAGTCTAGTCTATAGTCTAGTCTATAGTCTAGTCTATAGTCTAGTCTAGTCATAGTCTAGTCTATAGTCTAGTCTATAGTCTAGTCTATAGTCTAGTCTATAGTCTAGTCTATAGTCTAGTCTATAGTCTAGTCTATAGTCTAGTCTATAGTCTAGTCTATAGTCTAGTCTATAGTCTAGTCTATAGTCTAGTCTATAGTCTAGTCTATAGTCTAGTCTATAGTCTAGTCATAGTCTAGTCTATAGTCTAGTCTATAGTCTAGTCTATAGTCTAGTCTATAGTCTAGTCTAGTCAATAGTCTAGTCTATACTAGTAGCGTAGTCTGTTATTTAGCCTACAGAACAGTTAGTTTAGCACATTACAACCTAAAAATGCACTGTTTTTTTTATAAGTTAGTACTATTAAAAATTTCAGTTTTCCATGCCTGATTTGAACTACCAAATTACAGTTGCTACTGTTGATAAACATTTATGTGTGTCCCTCAGTTAATTTGGCTAAATAAAACGATAATATTAGGCAGAGTTTCTTAAAGGTGATTGAAAAGTATTAGAATAGATATTCGTTCTGATCCCGAGGCGCAAAATAACATTTTAAATAAAACTCTTTTGTTTTTTTTTTTTTTTTTTTTTTTTTTATTTATATTTTATTCACTAAAATCAATTAATTAACTTACAAATTCATTTCTTTAGATATTTCATAATAATTATTTAAAAAATAAACTAAATTTATTTTTTTTAGTTTAGGCAAAAAAAACCAAAATTAACTTAATTAATGCACGTTAAAATGATTTTTCTTTTTAAAATAATTTAAAAATAACTTAAACGAAATTAAAAACTAAAATGAACTTTGCGCTTTATAATTAAAAAAAATGTAATGAATGCTTAGGAAAGGGCTTAAGGAATTGAGGACAAGGTAAGGGTGTTTAAAAAGGATTTGTTTTATATTTCTAGTGTTTTTTTTGCAATGTTAAATATTAATGAAATTATGACATAAAAATTAAATCAATGAATTAATTATAAACTAAAAAAAGAGAAAAAAAAAAAAAAAAATACCTAAAAGAAATGACTTTTTGTTTGATTGTTTTAAATTATATTATGCATTAATAATAAAACTAAAAATATGTTTTTAATAATAATAATTAAATATGAATTTAAATTAAAAAATATGAATGATAATTATAAAATTAAAATAATAAAGAAACTTTATTCAATTCAGTCTAAATGATTAAATATGACAAATAAAATAAAAGCTTTTATGCCGTAGCTAATAAAAATGAAAACAAAAATCAAAATTATGAATTTAAAAAAACTAAAATTTTGAATAATAGTTATAATAATAATTTCCTAAAACAAAAATGTTAAAGCGAAAAAAAAATTAAATAATAGAAATCAATGATTACATAATGACAACTTATAACTGATAATTCTTTTGTTCAATTGGAAAAGCGATTATCGTTTATGAGTTGTAATTTTGCAAACTTTGAAATGTTTAGTTTGAGACTAAAGAATGTTAAAGACGATTTTTAGGAGTTTTTGTTGTTGTTGTGTTTTTTTTTATAATAAGAGAATTAATAGAAAAGCTTTAGAGTCAAGTAACAATTGTGGTGTTGAAAAAAAGCTTTTAGCTTTAATATTTGAACAGATTTCCTTGAAAGCTTTTCTT